AGGGCGACTGCTGTTTCACTGTTGTCGTCAGCACAGTGGCTATTCTTCATCCAGGGAGAGTCTCAGGGGGCTGGGACACCCCTGGGCCTCAAGCTGGGTCATGTTTACAGTCTTCAGTGCCCCACACTGGGGACCCCCTGAGGACACCCCCCAACTTTATTCTCCAGAGGGGCCCCAAGGCCCCTTCCTACTGTCGTGAGAGGCCCTGGGGCACGGGGAGGAATGGGGCTGTCCGTGTGTCTGCAATCACCAGCTCACTGCTGGCTCAGTGGCCTGGGGCTTCAGTTTTAATTTAATTTTTAATTAAAAGGTGGTGTTGTTTTTTAGCAACAACACTTGGCATTTTCAGTACTTCTGTTTCATGTCAGCTGGTGGGAACAGGGTGCCTGGCTCTCAGCTTGGCTGGGGGTGAGAGAGGGCAGCTGGCAGCCCAGGAAGAGGGCCAGGAGTCTTGGCTGGAGACAGAGGCATCTCAAGAATCTCACCCGGTTCGTTGCCTTGTCCAGGCCAGCTCTGAGCTGTGGCAGGTGCCTCTGGGCCTTGGTACAGTTCCTGTTCTGCTCTTTCCAACGTCCTGAGCAGTGGGGGTGGGGAAGGCGGCTCTTGTCCGTAGGCTCCGAGTCTCCTGGCCTTTCGGAGCTGCCCCGAGCCCGTGTCCTGGCCACACCCAGCTGGTGGGATGAGAGGCTGGCCCCAGTCCTGATGCAGGTTTACAAGCTCTACAGGTACAGTTGCCCTGGTCTCCCTGGGGGCCAGTGGTTATCACCCCCACTCTGCTCCCCATCCCGAAAGCACAAGATGGCGTCAGGCTGCTTCCAGAGGTGGGTGGGGGCAAGATATCATAAAGGCTAAAATGAAATAAAAGTTTGTCAAGTAATGGCTAGTTGCATCATTTTTCCCATCAAAATCCTGGATTGGTTTGCCTGGCAGAGCCAGGAACAGGCACTACGGGACAAGGGACCAGTGTGCGCTGAGTGCCACGCCCCCCTTCTCCCCCACCCTCCACCGTGGTGCGGACGCTCTGCCAGGCACATTCTCACAACCTTTTATGGCAGGTACCAGCCCCATTTTACAGATGAGGAAACTGAGGCTCACAGAGGCTAAGAAACTGGCCAAGTTCACACAGCCGAAAAGTGTAGAGCAGGGATGGAACCTCTGGAATCCTGTGGAGGAAGGGCAGGGCCTTCCAGAGCACTACAGGGAAATGGAGTCGCCAAGTTACTGCTCAGGGGAGAGAAGGAAGAAGGAAAAGCGAGGGTTTGAAAGTCCACTGTGGGCTGAGGGCCTGACTGTGGGGAGGGCAAGTCAGGATGGCAAGTGAAGAGTCAAAACCTGGCTCTTCCTGGGCTGCCTGGGGGCCTAGGTGAGGATCTGGCACCGACACTAGTTCAGAGGGGAAGACCCTGCAATTGCAGCAATGTCTGCCGTGCTCCAGGGTGGGTGGTGGGGACCTCGTGCTGTCTGCTATCTCAGACTCGCTGAGTGTTTGCTGGGCTAACTGGGGACTCACAGACGGGAGGGGCTGGCCAAGGTCACCAGCATGATGGACCAGTAGGCCCTAGGTCAGTGATGGCGAACCAATGACACACAAACTCATTTGGTTGATTTTTCTTTGTTAAATGGCATTTAAATATATAAAATAAATATCAAAAATATGTCTTTGTTTTACTATGGTGGCAAATATCAAAAAATTTCTCTATGTGACACGGCACCAGAGTTAAGTTAGGGTTTTTCAAAATGCGGACACACCGAGCTCAAAAGGTTCGCCATCACTGGACTAGGCCCGAGGTCCTCCTAATGTGGATACAGAGCTTGGGTCACGTGCCATGTCAACCTGGAAAAATCATGCCCATTCAGGAAAATGTGTCTTAGGATGAGCAACTGACACGAAAAATATTAAGGGTCGGGGACTCATGTCCCTCGTGAGCGCCCAGGGCGTGCTGAGTAAGTCCTTCCACCTCTCCCGGGACCACAGCTGACAGACGGGGGCTGGGGAAGTGGCTCCCCACACAGGCTGAGTCAGAGCCCGCCTGTGGCACTTGTGACCACAGCCACCACAGGGCACAGATGGGGGAACGGAGGAGAGAGACCGCTAGCTCCAAGAGGGAGGGTCGCCTGCTAGACTGCTTAGGACTGGAGTTTCCACGAATTTAACAGAAATGGGGGTGGGGGTGGGGAGGCAGGACAAGTTGGTCAATACCCAGGAGGGTGTGTATCCACCTGCTAATATGTCAGTGTTTCCTCTTGACCCTGGGGACGTGTCTAAGGACTAAAACACCCCAGGAGCACGGCCAGGTGTAGAAAACTGTCTTTACCTAAAAAGCCTTTGGGGGATCCTGCATGTGTTCAGAAGCAACGTTCTGAGAAGCCACTTGGGGCCGGGGATTCTGTGCTGAGGCCAGAGGTTCTGTGCCGGCTGCCCAACATCCATCCATCTGAAAAGATTAGTCAATTTCAATCAGTTGTGCTGCTCCCAGCTGACTTGGAGGAATTAGCTAACCTTTAGCTGCTAAAGAATGGCTGTGTGACCCCATTTTGATCAGTGTGATGTTAGTGGAAGCCGCTTCTTCTAAAAAGAGACACAATGAAGAGCTGGTCATTGTTTTCTGCGGGTGAAGTTACATCGGATGCCTGGAGCCGTGGCAGCTATCTTGTGATCATGAAATAGGACACTCCAAGGAAAGTGTCCCCTGCTGACACCTGAAAATATTCTTGAACTTCTGAGTCAACCTTACCTCTGGACAGTCTGGTAATTTGAGGTGATAAATAGCCTTGTTTGAAGCTTTAAGGGAGACGTGTTTTTTTGTTGTTATTTGCAGCCAGAGGCTTCCTAACAGATAAGGTTGAGTGACTGTGGCGACTCCCTCTAAGGAGGCATGGCTATGGTTGACCAACTTCAGAGCTGCTGTTGGCTCAGTGGGGTGAAGAGAAGGGCCAGAGTGGGATTCCCCGGAACAGGAAAGGGGCCACGGCTGCTCCTCCCTCCCTGGAAGCCTTCCATCACCCGTTTCAACCGAGTGAACAAACACTGAAAAGCAGCGCTCCCCGTGCTTGCTTCTGGCCCTACACTTCGCATGTTCCCACCCGGGGCTGTTTTGTTCCTACTCGGGCTGATTTGGTGCCAACTGTCCACTCCACTCTTCCCGATCCCTCCCCAGATCACCTTACTTTACCTTTTACAAACTTTGTGATACAAAAGGCCCTGCGACTTGTCCCCATTTCTAAAGCTGCTGCAACCAAAAATGAAACTTCCAATGCAGTAAAATAATAAAATGCTTAAGCCCAGCTGCAGATTTTGCATTTTCTGAGGAAGAGTTTTTAAAAGGTGGGCCCATGAACTGGTTTTGTCTTAGGATTTCAAAACAGTAACCTGCTCCTGCCTGAGGGGCCAGGGCTGCCCTGGCTTGGTGTGCCCATCCTGGGGGACGTGGCTGTGGCTGCCCTTGCCAGGCACAGCTCTGAAAGCATTTGGACATTGGGGCCACTGCCACTGCCCTCTCTACATTGTCCAGGGGCAGTGTTGTCATTGCTCCTCTACCTGTGGGCCGAGATATCCCAGGCCATGCACCCAGGCCTCTAGATTGCACTGGAGAGCAGGGACTATGTGCCCCCAGGGCCCGGCACAGTGGCCGGCACAGAGACATCAATCATGTGTCCTCTGTCCCTCAGCTCATGTGATCCTTTCCTCCCTGTCTACAGCTGCTTGGGCAGGACTTGGTCCGAGACACAAGCTGAGCAATCGGGGTCCTGGGTATTGTGAATTGGGGGGAATGGATTAAGTTAGGTCTGAGGTGACCCTAGAGAGAGGACGAATGGATCAAGGTAGACTGTGCAGTCCCCAGAGCCTGGCGGAGCATCTTGCCTTTGGATTTCTCCAGGATTCCCAATAAACGGTTCGAATATCTTTAATTGGACCACAATTTCCTTCAACCCAATAGTTCTCGAATATACCACGACACCAGTGAATGCTTGTTCCTACTCCCATTCCCTCGTTTCGCTAGCGTCCTTCCCAGAGCCTCGAGCACCCAGTGGGGCCAAATAACAAAATGAGTTAGAACTGCCTCCTATTTACTGAGACCCATGAGCTACTTCTTAAAATTGCAGATCCCTGGGCTTGCCTGACTCTAGGAATTCTGGGTCAGTAGGTCGGTTTGGGGCCCAGGAAGCTGCTTTTTGTGTTGGAAACACGAGATTTTAGGACCACAAATTAAGAAATGCTCAGGAAATCTTCAAAGAAACTTATCAGTCGTCTGAGATGCCCTCGGATGATCCCTGACTCCTGGTGTTCACGTACTAGTGTAGTCCCCTCCCACACTGCACGCAGGCCTGTGTGGCCACGAGGGTACTGTTCCCCACAGTGGGCTTCCACTCTAGGTCACAGAGCACACTGCAGCCTCCGCCTTGCTCACTCTGAACTGCCATGTTTGAGGACACCCAAGCAGCCCTGTGGAGGGGCCCACTTGCAGGGGAGCAGAGATGCCCACCAACAGCCAGCCAGGGAGTGTGCCATCTTGGAGGCAAATCCTTCGGCCCTAGGCCTGGCCTCAGTCCTAGCTGACGGTTTAACCTCAAGAGCCAGAAACATCCAGCGAAGCCACTCGCAAATTCCTGACCCAGCGAGATCCTAAGAGATGGTGTTTTAAGGCACTAAGTTTCGGCAGTTACTTGTTATCAGCAATAGATGCCAAGTACAGGTAGATACTGTTATGATCAGATCCATTTTACAGATAAGGAAACTGAGCCTCATTGAAGGACTGCAGATTACAAGATCGTGGAGTCAAACCCAGGGCGGGCTGAGTTCAAAGCCAGTGCTT